TAGCGGTGTATTGGGTGTGTAGTAGTAGCGGTGTATTAGTTGTGTAGTAGGGTTGTAGTGGTGTATTGGGTATGTAGTAGGGTTGTAGTGGTGTATTGGGTATGTAGTAGGGTTGTAGTGGTGTAGTAGCGGTGTATTAGGTGTGTAGTAGGGTTGTGTTGTAGTAGTAGCGGTGTATTAGGTGTGTAGTAGGGTTGTAGTGGTGTAGTAGTGATGTATTGGGTGTGTAGTAGTAGCGGTGTATTGGGTGTGTAGTAGTAGCGGTGTATTTGTTGTGTAGTAGGGTTGTATTGTAGTAGTAGCGGTGTATTTGTTGTGTAGTAGGGTTGTATTGTTAGTAGTAGCGGTGTATTGGGTGTGTAGTAGTAGCGGTGTATTGGGTGTGTAGTAGTAGCGGTGTATTTGTTGTGTAGTAGGGTTGTAGTGGTGTAGTAGCGGTGTATTAGGTGTGTAGTAGGGTTGTAGTGGTGTAGTAGCGATGTATTGGGTGTGTAGTAGGGTTGTGTTGTAGTAGTAGCGGTGTATTAGGTGTGTAGTAGGGCTGTAGTGGTGTAGTAGTGATGTATTGGGTGTGTAGTAGTAGCGGTGTATTGGGTGTGTAGTAGGGTTGTATTGTAGTAGTAGCGATGTATTGGGTGTGTAGTAGGGTTGTATTGTAGTAGTAGCGATGTATTGGGTGTGTAGTAGGGTTGTATTGTAGTAGTAGCGGTGTATTGGGTGTGTAGTAGGGCTGTAGTGGTGTAGTAGCGGTGTATTGGGTGTGTAGTGGGGGTCTGACCATTTGGAAACTTGGCCACTGCCCGAGGGCCCGGTGGCAGTAGGGGGCCCCATGAAATGCCCCTGGTACCTTTTCCATAGGCTTTTTTGAGTTTGGGCAAGGACACAGGGGCCCCATGATCCCCTATTACCCGGGGGGCCCCATGAGTTGTCAGTCCGCCCCTGCTCTGTAACAATATTCTCCTTTAGGAACCCCCCATGTTGCTCGCAGCACTCATTTCTCTCTCATGTACAATGTTCAGCGATCCCCCTGGCAGACGGTTACATCCTAAACTTTTACAGCCAGTGAGCACTGAGGGGTACCCCCTCGCCCCCATTTTTTCTGATTGGTTGCTGTGAACCCCCGGCAGCACGCATTGCGATGGCTGTCATTGGATGTCAGTAATGCGATCCAGGCGTGAGATTCACACTCATCGCTGCCAAGACAGACGGAGAAGGTGAGAACGGCGCTCGGCACGGCCAGGATTTATGGCGGAGTTGCCATTAAGGGAAGAATTAGCCGATGGCGACTCCGATATTAAAGGGTGAGGAAGCCGTGAATTATTTTTTTTAAAGATCCTATAGCGTCCAATCATCATCTTCCCTTCCAGGAGGCCATGTTTAATGAGTGAACAGAGGGGGAAGTTGTGATTTAATGCCGACTCTGGCTTTGATTTTTTAATCCTTAAACACATTTACGGCTTTTTCTTTTACACAACGTTCGGTTTTATAAAGGCGAGTGACCTTTTTCCTAGCAATCTGTCGCGGCCAGGTGCGCTGTTATAACAATTATTCATCGCTTTTGTACACTGAAAGATTGTACGCCGTGACACCGCGCCGCGCATTTCTGTGATGTATGGAGGTGGAGGGGTTTTTTTTTTCTGCTGGTGTTGGCATCGAACAGTCAGGCGTACAGTGTGATCCTCCGGAGGTACCACAAGAGCCAGCAGACCGGTCATCCATTGTCCATACATGATCTTAAAAGCAGACCTCCAGGCGAATACCTATTGTACATATCAACTGTTTTTATTGACAAAGGATTTGGAATTCTGCTCAGCCAGTTCTGTTGTTTGCACAGCTTAGAGTCATCACTCCACAGGTGGCATCTCATATTTAAATATCACCTGTGTGCCTCCAATGCATCAGCAGCTTAGATTTACCTGCTCCTCCCTCCCAGTAATGACCCACCAGCTTAGCTCAGCCCCCCATCCCCCAACATTGACTAAGCAGCTCAGCTCTCCCTGCTCCCCCTCCCAGCAGTGACTCAGCAGCCCAGCACCTTCCTCCCAGTAATGACCCACCAGCTTAGCTCAGTCCCCCATCCCCCAACATTGCCTCAGCAGCTTAGCTCTCCCTGCTTCCCCTCCCAGAAGTGACTCAGATTCTCAGCTCTCCCTGCTCCCCCCCCCCCAGAAGTGACTCAGAAGCTTAGCTCTCCCTGCTCCCCCTCCCAGAAGTGGCTCAGCAGCTCAGCTCTCCCTGCTGTCCCTCCCAGAAGTGACTCAGCATCTCAGCTCACCCTGCTCCCCTCCCAGAAGTGACTCAGAAGCTTAAATATCCCTGCTCCCCCTCCCAGAAGTGACTCAGCAGCTCAGCTCTCCCTCCCAGAAGTGACTCATCACCTTAGCTCTCCCTGCTCCCCCTCCCAGAATTGACTCATCACCTTAGCTCTCCCTGCTCCCCCTCCCGGAAGTGACTCAGCAGCTTTGCTCTCCCTGCTCCCCCTCCCGGAAGTGACTCAGCAGCTTTGCTCTCCCTGCTCCCCCTCCCAGAAGTGACTCATCAGCTCAGCTCTCCCTGCTCCCCCTCCCAGAAGTGACTCAGCAGCTTAGCTGTCCCTGTTCCCACTCCCAAGAAGTGACTCATCAGCTCAGCTCTCCCTGCTCCCCATCCCAGAAGTGACTCAGCAGCTCAACTCTCCATGTTCCCCCTCCCAGAAGTGACTCAGCAGCTCAGCTCTTCATGCTCCCCCTCCCGGAAGTAACTCAGCAGCTTTGCTCTCCCTGCTCCCCCCCCCCCAGAAGTGACTCATCAGCTCAGCTCTCCCTGCTCCCCCTCCCAGAAGTGACTCAGCAGCTCAGCTCTCCCTGCTCCCCATCCCGGAAGTGTCTCAGCAGCTCAGCTCTCCCTGCTCCCCCTCCCAGAAGTGACTCAGCAGCTCAGCTCTCCCTGCTCCCCCTCCCAGAAGTGACTCATCAGCTCAGCTCTCCCTGCTCCCCCTCCAAGCATCCAATCAGCAGCTCAGCTCTCCCTGCTCCTTCCTCCCAGCATCCAATCAGCAGGTCAGCTCTCCCTGGTCCTCCTCCTAACAGTGATAAACCAGCACAGATTAACCTGCCCCTTTCCCCAGCAGTGACTAAGCATTCTTCCCACCTTCTTATCTCCAATGTAAATGCATTTTAACTTCATTGCTTCTACTCTGAACTTTGAGGATGATTTGCTCCACAGCACCTGCAGCTACTGAGATCACTGAGGTCTTGTTTTAAAATTCATACAGGTGGCAAAGGGGTGGTTAAAATAAGCAGTTGATCTGAGGTTTTTACTTCCCCCTGACCACTCACCAAATCCTATGACAGCTGGACAAGGTGGTACACATGCTATAACCATGACTGTGCTAATCTCCTGGGCCCTTCTTCACTGACCCACCAATTTAAGGGACATTCTTCCCACTGACCCCCAGTGTAAGAGACATTCTTCCCACTGACCCCCAATGTAAGGGACATTCTTCCCACTGACCACCAAGGTAAGAGACATTCTTCCCACCGACCCCCAAGGTAAGGGACATTCTTCCCACCGACCCCCAAGGTAAGGGAAATTCTTCCCACCGACCCCCCAATGTAAGGGAAATTCTTCCCACCGACCCCCCAATGTAAGGGACATTCTTCCCACCGACCACCAATGTAAGGGACATTCTTCCCACCGATCACCAATGTAAGGGACATTCTTCCCACTGACCCCCAATGTAAGGGAAATTCTTCCCACCGACCACCAATGTAAGGGACATTCTTCCCACTGACCTCCAATGTAAGGGACATTCTTCCCACTGACCCCCAATGTAAGGGACATTCTTCCCACTGACCTCCAATGTAAGGGGCATTCTTCCCACCGACCCCCCCAATGTAAGGGACATTCTTCCCACCGACCTCCAATGTAAGGGACATTCTTCCCACCGACCTCCAATGTAAGGGACATTCTTCCCACCGACCTCCAATGTAAGGGACATTCTTCCAACTGACCCCCAATGTAAGGGACATTCTTCCCACCGATCACCAATGTAAGGGACATTATTCCCACCGACCACCAATGTAAGGGACATTCTTCCCACCGACCCCCCAATGTAAGGGACATTCTTCCCACCGACCCCCAATGTAAGGGACATTCTTCCCACCGATCACCAATGTAAGGGACATTCTTCCCACCGACCACCAATGTAAGGGACATTCTTCCCACCGACCCCCCAATGTAAGGGACATTCTTCCCACCGACCACCAATGTAAGGGACATTCTTCCCACCGATCACCAATGTACGGGACATTCTTCCTACTGACCACCAATGTAAGGGACATTCTTCCCACCGACCCCCCAATGTAAGGGACATTCTTCCCACCGACCCCCCAATGTAAGGGACATTCTTCCCACCGACCCCCCAATGTAAGGGACATTCTTCCCACTGACCACCAATGTAAGGGACATTCTTCCCACTGACCCCCAATGTAAGGGACATTCTTCCCACTGACCACCAATGTAAGGGACATTCTTCCCACCGACCCCCAATGTAAGGGACATTCTTCCCACCGACCCCCCAATGTAAGGGACATTCTTCCCACCGACCTCCAATGTAAGGGACATTCTTCCCACCGACCTCCAATGTAAGGGACATTCTTCCCACCGACCTCCAATGTAAGGGACATTCTTCCCACCGACCTCCAATGTAAGGGACATTCTTCCCACCGACCCCCAATGTAAGGGACATTCTTCCCACCGATCACCAATGTAAGGGACATTCTTCCCACCGACCACCAATGTAAGGGACATTCTTCCCACCGACCCCCCAATGTAAGGGACATTCTTCCCACCGACCACCAATGTAAGGGACATTCTTCCCACCGATCACCAATGTACGGGACATTCTTCCTACTGACCACCAATGTAAGGGACATTCTTCCCACCGACCCCCCAATGTAAGGGACATTCTTCCCACCGACCCCCCAATGTAAGGGACATTCTTCCCACCGACCCCCCAATGTAAGGGACATTCTTCCCACCGACCCCCAATGTAAGGGACATTCTTCCCACTGACCCCCAATGTAAGGGACATTCTTCCCACTGACCACCAATGTAAGGGACATTCTTCCCCACTGACCCCCAATGTAAGGGACATTCTTCCCACTGACCCCCAATGTAAGGGACATTCTTCCCACTGACCCCCAATGTAAGGGATATTCTTCCCACTGACCACCAATGTAAGGGACATTCTTCCCACCGACCCCCAATGTAAGGGACATTCTTCCCACCGACCCCCCAATGTAAGGGACATTCTTCCCACTGACCACCAATGTAAGGGACATTCTTCCCACCGATCACCAATGTACGGGACATTCTTCCTACTGACCACCAATGTAAGGGACATTCTTCCCACCGACCCCCCAATGTAAGGGACATTCTTCCCACCGACCCCCCAATGTAAGGGACATTCTTCCCACTGAAAACCAATGTAAGGGACATTCTTCCCACTGACCCCCAATGTAAGGGACATTCTTCCCACTGATCACCAATGTAAGGGACATTCTTCCCACTGACCACCAATGTAAGGGACATTCTTCCCATTGACCACCAATGTAAGGGACATTCTTCCCACTGACCACCAATGTAAGGGACATTCTTCCCACTGACCCCCAATGTAAGGGACATTCTTCCCACTGATCACCAATGTAAGGGACATTCTTCCAACTGACCCCCAATGTAAGGGACATTCTTCCCACCGACCACCAATGTAAGGGACATTCTTCCCACTGACCCCCAATGTAAGGGACATTCTTCCTACTGACCACCAATGTAAGGGACATTCTTCCCATTGATCACCAATGTAAGGGACATTCTTCCCACCGATCACCAATGTAAGGGACATTCCTCCCACTGACCCCCAATGTAAGGGACATTCTTCCCACTGACCCCCAATGTAAGGGACATTCTTCCCACTGACCCCCAATGTCAGGTAACACCACAATGGTCAGTGTCTCTGGCCAATATTAGAATGATTATTTTCATTGTATTATTGTTACTGGGTAGAATTGTGTTGTATACAGTAAGTAGCCCAATGCTTCCACTGACGTTGAGGTGTCGATATAATTACTCTCAGGGATTTCCTGAAGCCTGATAGTCAATTCCGGGGTTTTCTGAGCTGTAAGGTCAGGCCTGCAGTCTCGCCCTTTGCCTAGTGTCTCGCCCGGTCAATGGCGGTCAGCGGTGGACGCCGTTCCCGGCTGAGTCAGGGCCGGTGCGACTTGGCAGGGACCTCCCCGTACTTAGCATGCGAGCCGGGTCTTTAGAACTGAAGTGGTTTCCACACAATTTAAAAATAGACAGTTTATTAATTTGAACTGCAGGCACATGTAGACGAGGTCCGGAGATTGACATCCGCGGGATTAGTTTAGCCCCGTTTTTCTTTTTTTTTTTTTTTTTTTCTTACCAGAGGTCATCTCCATGGCGCTCGGGAAGAATGCCGGAATAATGGGCCCTCGTGCTCTTCCCAGGGCCGCTCTCAAAATAAAACCAATACATAACGTTCCACTTCCCGTCTTCCCGGCCATTTTTCACAAAACAATATTGCGCTCGGAATTTATTATCTCTTTTGTTGGATCTTTTTTTATTTCATTCTAACCCGTTCTGCTCTTTTCCTGCCCCGTGGTCGGCAGTTATGATGGAGCCGTAGTTAAACGGCGGAGAAAAGGCGAGGAGGAGAGTTTAATCTGCCTGGGACCTGTAATTACACCGCTCTGTACTGGTTAATGGCATTCAAACTAAAGATCAATTCCTTTTTATGGGTATTCTTCGGGAGAGATCACTTGGCTGGCTGATGCCCCATCGAGCCGGGAGATGCTCCATAGATGTTCCGCTCAGACAAATGATCAAAAGAGCTTTGTGTTTGGAAAAGGCGGAACGGCACAATAGCGCGCGGGGTGCACGCGAAAATAGTACATAAAAGCTTTGGGAAAATTCTGGCTTCTGTCAAATTTGTCTGACATTTTCATCGCCTCCCTTTTTACTTCTTTTTTTTTTTTTTTTTTTTTTTAATCTTCTTTTTTTTTCTCTTCCGCAGTCAATGCTGTTATCGGCTTCTATCAAGCGGGAAGGGGAATCGCCAACGGCTTCGCCGCACTCCACAGACGACATCCACCATTCGGACAGATACCAGGTGCGCAGCTATTGAAGGGACACGGTGATGCAATGCGGAAGGGCTAAAGTGATTGGCTGGTTATTAGGCAGCGGGTGCAGTCCTTTAACACGACGGGGTAGTTGGGTCTGTGAGGTGGGTCTCAGACCTTCTGTGTTATGAGGTTTGTGCGTCAGAAGGTCGGACTCTTAAATTCTCCGGGGAGATAAAAAAGATATACAGTGAAGGAAATGTGTATTTGCTCCCCTGCTGATGCTGAATGTTCGCCCCTCACAAAGAAATGATCGGTCTAACAATGGAATGTTCGGTGTAACACTGAGAGACAGAATACGACAACAAATTCAGCAGAAAGGCGTCTAACAAATGATGACTGATCTGTATGTTCATGAGGGAAATAAGCAGGGGCGGACTGACAACTCATGGGGCCCCTGAGCAATAGGGGATCATGGGGCCCCTGTCCTTGCCCACACTCAAACCACACCCAAAAAAGCCTATGCAGATACCAGGGGCATCTCATGGGGCCCCCTACTGACCCGTGCCCTTAGGCAGTGCCCGAGTTCCCAAATGGTCAGTCCGCCCCTGGAAATAAGTATTTGATCCCCTATCATTCTGCAGGATTTCTGGCTCCCAGCTGTCTCTCATACAGGTAACAAGCTGAGATTAGAAGCAGTCTCTTAAAGGGAGTGCTGCTCATCTCATTGTGTTACCTGTATAAAAGACACCTGTCCACAGGAGCCATCAAACCATCAGATTCCAAACTCTCCACCATGGCAAAGACCAAAGAGCTGTCCAAGGATGTCAGGGACAAGATGGTAGACCTACACAAGGCTGGACTGGGCTACCAAACTATGGCCAAGCAGCTTGGTGAGAAGGTGACAACAGTTGGTGCAATCATTCACAAATGGAAGAAACACAAAACAAGTGTCAGTCTCCCTAGGTCTGGTGCACCATGCAAGATCTCACCTCGTGGAGTGTCAATGATCATGAGAACAGAGAGGAATCCTTCACTGTAAATCATTGATGTGGTTGTAATCCTCAGACATGAAATATGAACAAAGCACATCCCTCTATAGTGTGTACTTGTCTCAGTCCAGAGCAATAAGGGGTTGATTAGCTGCAGCTGCAGCTTGGCATGGAAACCAATCAGCTTCCAGGTTTTATTGTCAAAGTTTCGTTGAAGAAGCTGATTGGCTGCCATGCACAACTGTACCGGATTCTGAGTGCTCCAGTTTTAGTAAATTAACTCCTAAGCCGGTTTCACACCAATGCGGTGAGGGAAACGCTGCGAATCCTGTGGGTATCAATGTATGTTCATGCGATCTGGTGCGGGTGTCAATGATAAATTAATGACACCCTGAAACAGATTGCAAAACGCGACGCAATTGCCGGAAATCGCATCTCATGGGTGAGAACACCCATTCGATGCGATTCAGGTGCGGATTTAAAAAAAGGGTCCTGCGCCTTTGTGGTGCGGATGCAATGCGATTTGAGCCATACAAAATGTATGTTGTAAATCGCACCGCACAGACGTTGGCATGTAATTGGCACAGGAATGCGGTGCAATTCCTGTGCGAATTATATGCGGTGTCCCACCCTGCATACTGTGAACCCGGGCTAATGCAGGCCATAGACGGGTCGGACATTGGCCGATTTTTCGGAGAAAAAAAAAAAAACGAAAAATTGGTCATTCGTTCGGCCGACCTTACCACCAACGGTAAAAAAAAAAAATCGGCCAACAAAATCATTGCCGGGAAAATCGGCTGATTGTCAAAATCGGACACAAATTTTCCAACATGACCGATAAAAAAACTGTGCAAAAAGCCCGAAAAACGGCCGACCAATTAACCCACTAACAGTGCGAAAATCGGCCGATTTTCGACCCGTCTATGGCCGGCATTAGTCTCATTTCTGTCTGCTGCCTCCTTCCTCTGCTATCAGCACGAGTCACTTCTGAAAAGTTTTCCTGACACCAAGAGAAAAATGGTGACGGGAGAGAGCTCCAGCAAATGGACAGCCTCAGCTCTGTTCCTGTGTGCTGTGTGGAGGGGTGTGTATCTCTTCCCTCCAATCACCTCCCAGAGCTCTCCTCACTGAGCTCTGCGGTGTGTACTTTCGGCTCTTCACTGTTTTCTGAACTCTCAGACAAGCTGTATAAAATTCAATACTTTGAAGGGATGTAAATAAGAGAAGAGTGCAGATAAACAGGTACAACTTATATAGGATTGTTTCTTCTCTGTGTATCACCTGAGGACAGTCACTTCACTGGGGATATAGAGGGTTTACAACCACTTTAAAGTAGAATTACAGCTAATTATCCTAAACCCCTTGGCGCCGGTGCCTCCCAGCCCTTTAAGGGTTTCAGAAGCCCGGAGGCGGGGTTTTAGGGTCATGTGACCGCTGTGATTCACCATCACATGATCGGGAAAGGTCACGATCGCAAGAGATCGGGACCTTTCCGTGAGTACCAGACATGTGTGCTGGGAGCGCACAGGGCGCATGCTCTCAGCACATATGTTTTTCTCAATTGCATGCAAATGTGCAGCCGCTCTGCGTCAGGGCCCAGACACCGGGAGGCCACACATTTGCATGCGGCCGGCGCCAAGAGGTTAAAAATGCACCCCACCCTGAATACCTATGCTGACTTACCTGTGTAACAAAGATACTTACCTATTCTCAGCCCGCTCCAGTCCAGTTACATGATCCCGTGTCGGCCAGCGGCTGAACCACAACCGATTGGCTCCTTGGGCTGCTTCACCATCTCCCAATCTGAGCTCTGCTATACAGGGACTACAAAAGGGTAATAGCAAATGTGGGTGCTTGCAATGCTTTCACAGTTCAAATGGGATTCCAGCTTACACTGGTCATGTGATCCCGGCTCCCCTGTGTCAGCCAGCGGCTGCTGCAGGGGAGAGGAGAGAGAGCACTCCGACAACAGCGGAGAAATCCAGGAGCGGTGGTGTCACCCATAGGCTTCAGGGGCCCATCTGCTGTTGGTACTCCCTCTTCCGCCCTGACACAGGGGAGGCGGATCATGTGACCGGACCGGAGCGGGCTGAAAATGGGTATGCAGGTTAGTCAGCATAGGTGTTAGGAGGGAGTAGATTCAGCCTCTTGTACAGCAGAGCTCAGCCTAGGAGAGGGTGACGCATCCCAAGGAGCCAGTCAGTTGTGCTTCAATGCTCACAAGGAACAACCTGATAGGAGGAAAGAACGAAGCGATAGAGATTTGAGCTCATCAGTCTGTAGCTTCTCTAGACCAACTAGTGATATTGGACTGCAGCAGAGGAAAATCAGGTCTCTCCTGCCCTGCCAGACAGATCCGTGCTGCAGAGCTGTGTAAACCTGAGGACTGGATAGACAGAAATGCAAAGCGGGTAAAGCAGCTCCGGTATATGTAGAACATCTGTGTAATCAGCTGTTTGCCTGGAGTTCATCTTGGGGGAGATCAACAAAATCAACGTTTGTACGGAAATCTAGATCAGGCCACACCCACGATGATGTCACATCAGATGACGTCACTTGCATTTGGCATCAGAATGGATCATCACACCTCATAGATATTGATACTTGGGAGTGGAGAGAAATCATGGAACTCAGATAAAGTCCGGAGACAACCTTGGTTATCTTATCTGTCCAAAATATTTTCCAATAGGAAATGAACCGGGAAAAATAAAGAGTGTTGGGCCGGAGTTCCTTGTTTGTGGCCGAATCTGCAGGTGGAACCAGAAATATTCATTCCTGAACACATTCCCATTCACTGGAACACAGAACAATGTGCATATTACTCATGACTTTA